CCCCAAAACCCCAAAACCCCAAAACCCCAAAACCCCATTTAGACAATCAAAATAACATATTATTTAAATAAAATGAACAAAGGTGATGTGGATCCGCCTCCAGCGCCCATCAAGACCCGCCAGTACTTTGGCAGCCGCAAGAAGCAGTCCCAAAAACCTCAATTTGGACCGAAGATTATCCCAGAGGAGCCTAAAAATGAAGAAGATTCCTCCTCCAATACGGTTGAGCAGAAGAACTACAGTCAAGAATTTCTGGGACAATATAGTACTGGCTCTGATTAATGTTTATAGGTCGAACAACCTTCTTACCCAGTTGAAGGTACCTCTCAGTTAAGTTTCATCCAGTATTGAAGGACCACATAATCGTCCTCAGCGAGATCAATAAAGACTACTTCGAGACAAATTTCCAAAAAGGCTTCGAAGTTGACACCCTAGTTGATAAACCAGTCAATAGAAACTTTACAGCAAGAATGAAGAGCAAGTACATTAAATATGCCAAAAACGTGATTTCCAGAGGAGATGTGATCAATAAGGCAAAAACCCAGTTCATGAACTTCAGTAAATCCTCCCTCATAAGTGAGCAATCCAGTGACTTCTTCGAACATGACTCTTTTTATGAAGGCGGAGAAGATGACCCTCAGTTTCAAGGGAGAAAAGAAGAGACTAAAGCCCCAGCTTCCAAAGAAGTTCGAGAGTTTAGAGGTATTAAGCAGGAAATGAAAAGAGTCAGAGGGAAATACCTCAAAAACGAAGCCCTTAAACGTAAAGATGACATCTTCCAAGATCTTGATGAATCATTAAGCACTGAAGATGTCTACAGAGCGATGGATCTGATCATCCAAGATAGTTCTGAGTTCCTCAGAACTACCAACAACACTATTCAGCTGAAAAAATCGAGGATAAAAGGATACGCAGATAGTGAATTTTCAGAGGAGGATTCCTTTAACACAAGCATGTATGATGAAGAGTCCCAGGAGGACTACTCTTCCTCAATAAACACCACTGCATTTGAAGAATTAGAGGAATATCAGGGTATAAAATATCTCCCTCCGCCATTCAGGCACAAATATGAACTGTCTCTCTGGAAAGCAGATGTGTTAGGTATCTCCAAAGTAATGTCTAAGTACTTCACTCCATCGGAGAAGGACATCTCTAGTGATACCTCAAAGACTGAAAAAACCGAGGAAACTAAGAAGAAGAGAAGTGATAACCAAGAAATTATGTTCAGGTAAGTCTCTATATTTGATTCTCACCCAATATACACCAGCAATGTTTTCGAGAAAATCGGTGGTTATAGGCCTCAAAATATCATTAATACACAAACTTTGGTGCTTCGTGATCTCTCTTCATCTAATATCCTTTGGTTTATTACAAAATCCAGTACATGAAATTAAAAAGTTTCAAATTCTAATCTCTCCTTGAACGGGTCTAGCATTTTCAACCAAATGAGTCTCTAAAAATTAAGTGTTCCTAAATACTTCGAATTATTTTTACATTAAAAAATCCTAAAATTTCCGAACAGGTTCGAATTTAGATTTTTCATTCTGCTAATATCCAAAATCTTGTGTGATTTCACCAGTATGAAATTCAGTGAAATATCTGATAAATCCCACGACTCAAGGATAAATTCCATTCTATTTAAAATACGGGAGGTTTGCTCTACCAAGGCTGTATCTCTGGTCGTTGTATAGATAATTTTATTGTGGCTAAAACTTGTGGTCCTAACGATCCCTCTAGCATGGATGTGTCCATTGATAAGAAAACGATAGTCATCAGTGAAAGAGAGCTAATTTCTGAAGATATTTCAGTCATGATCTTTGATATTTACTCCTTAGAGATGATATCGGAGCAAACAGTCAATATTGTGAACAAGATTAATAAGAAGTATAATAGAGAATATGATAAAGACGAAGACCTCAACACGCCTGAGGAGGGAGAATATTGCCCTACCTCAGAAGGATTTCCGAAAATTACCAGCTTTGGCAACGGAGAATATCTCCTTGTTGGTGTTGGAAACAAGCCCAAATCCAAGAAAATCTCTGAGTTTAGGATATATGACACTGAACAAGAGCATATCCATTCTACGTTCAGTAGGGTGAGCCATCATAGCCTGGTTGGAATTATGCATAGTATTTATTCCCACCCAGATGATCTAGGCATATTCTATCTTCTTACCAAAATCGAAGCTGGCTTCGTTGCCTATAAGCTTGACATGCTACACAACGAATGCGAATTCTTATGCAGATATGAGGGAGAAGGGATCCAGAGGATCCTTATCTCTGAGGACTGTAAGGAAGTATTCCTGATTCAAACCACAACAGGAGAAAATGCAAGGCACCATCTCTACTCTGCTCCATTAGGAAAAACTGCTTACTTTGATGCTGACAGTGAAGTAGAGAGCTCACCTAGAGTTGAAGTGGTTTATTCTTTCAAAACTGTTAGCTCTAGTCTGATCATTGTCTATGAGGAGTACAGCCAGACCAAAGTGGGCATACTCAACGATGGAGTGTTTAGAGCTTATGACGATAAATTCCAGAATGCCCAAAATGCTCATGATTACTCCCTTCTTAATTCTGGAAATGTATTAATGATGAAATCTCCTGAAGATTATTCCTTCGAGTGTCTCATACTTAAGAAGAGCAGTAAATAATGTTGAGAACTCCACATACCAAGTGAAAGAGTTTACTGGACTAAAGTATAAGTACCCATATCTGTGATTTATCAAGGGAGGAACTGAAGTATTCAGGTTTAATTTCTTCAGAAAGAGGTTTACTTATCTCAGGCTCAATTCCCCGCTAGTCACTTATACAAATGATTCATACGAGACTTCAACTTATTCAGGATTGATGGATAGAGGAGAGTATTATACTAAAATCCAACTTGACCTTTTGGGAATTATGGATGATATGGAGCTGAGAAAACAAGAAAACGCACCTGAAACTTTCCAAATAACCTCTAATAAATGAAATATATTGAAGCAGTATCTTCCCAGATCTAAGTTACTTGGGTGCTTCCCTGATGACTATGCCTATTTCAGCAGCCTCAAGCCTGAAAAAGCCTTCTATATTCATACTTCAAGTCATATAATCGCTTATAGTATGGAGAAATCAGGGAGATGCTCGATTCTAAAGGCAAGTTATGGGGAGCGAGAAGTTGCATACTATCAAGGGTTTTTATTCGCCAAAAAGGAGTCAAACAAGATATTCTATTCCCCTGCTCCATGTAATTTCAACAAGAGGTCTAACTACACGACCGTGTATCAAACCTCCACAGGGATTATACAAGACTTTTATAATGCGAAGGAGGATAATTCCTTCTATTTAATCGATGAAATTGGATCTGTCAAAATAGTCACCCTAGAGATCCCTGTTGATGAGGAAGGAGATGCTCCAAAGCTAAAAGTTCAGCATAACTATTACATCAACAAAGACTTCGCAGGCGGAGACATCTTTACAATTGCTGACGGAATGCTCTACAGTGGATTCAAAAGCTATATTCTTCAGAAGAGAAGCACTGCTAATGAAGAGTTTCAGTCTGAGTTTAGGATAAAGACTCTAGATGGGCTTGAACAGACTGAAGCTCCGGTAATCAGTGACAACACTATTGTCTTTATTGGAGTTATCACCTCCAATAAATCTAGTAGGAATCAGAATACGACTAGGCAACCTATCCGAGTGGCCCTTATTATGCCTTTATTCAACTCTTCAAAGTTCAGGTTTGTCAGCAAGAAGCGAGAGAAGTACCTTAAAAATGAGTTCTTTTACAAGATAAAAAACACGAAGGAAGAAACCATTGTCTACCAGTTCCAGTCAACTCAGTTGGGCTGTATTGAGTTTGATTTCTATGACTTCAATGGGAGATACATCGATTCTATCAAATTGAAAATTCCTGGTGTCACAGATTATGATAACTTTAAGCTAAAGCTCAGTCCTGATGGCACAAAGATCTTCATCAAGTAAGCGAAACTGCCGTCTAATACTATTTAGAGAGAAGCAAAGCGACGGGAATATCTATGACGGAAAAGTCTACGAGATCGTCACGCTCATTAAAAAGTCTCTTATTGAGAAACTCATGAAGTAACCCCCTCTAAGTGATCTATTATAGTTTCTATAAGAAAGGCAAGCGATACGAGTTCGGCACAGAAAACGAAAAGGTCTACTTTGACCTCAAGCTGGTCAGAGTTGTCAAAGATATTGATTCTATCTTTGGATTTAACTGTGATCCTGATCTGACTAATGATGGGATTCTTACTTATGCCAATGGAGAGGACAACTTGTACTATGACACCCTCGAAATCACCGAATATGTGAAGGATAAGCTATCTAAGAACGATCAGACTAAGAAGTATGAAGCTATAGACTCATACACCTGGATAGCTACCAATCGGAGCTATATCGCTTATAAGTCAGATAAAATTTTTTGAATTTTCTTCGATATTGAAAAGATAGAGACTGAAGAGAACCATAGTTTTACAATTTACCCATACAAGCCATTCCAGTTGAATATCTATTTAAACTTCCATGATTTGTACATATCAAAGGTGACTTGTGGGCCTAATCCTGACAAAATCGTGATTTGCTGCTCTTCTCCCCTACAGGAGAACATATTCCTGCTTTGGGACTGCTACGAGAATCATGAGATCCAGAACTACTCAAATAAAGGCAAATACATTTCTTTACACGGTCGTGGATCAGATACTTGCTATGTTCTGAGTGATGATAAGTTCTTAGACATGGACCAAATTTTGGCTAATTATTTCTTTGATATTAACTTCTTGGACTACTACGATGACAATGTCCCCAAAAATGGCTACAAGGTCAGTGAAAAGGAAGAAGTGATGCTTTGCAGAGGCCAGATCCTCTTAAAAGTATCATTCATAGAGTCTCAGACTCTAGAAAAAATTGTGAAAAAGAAAGAAATCCTTGATGATGAGAACATCACACTGAGCAAGATCAAATTCCAGATCAACGGAGCTACCATTCTCCATATATTTGCACTAGACGAGAAGCATCTGGCTCTGATCCTGAATTTCTTACAGGAGAATTATAAGGAGTATCTTAGTATTATCCTGATCAGGAACAAGAAGAACTTATCAGCATTAGATATTTGTATCGATAATGAAAGTCCGAGGTGAACAGAGTTATTCTTGCGGGCTTTGTCCCACCTAGAAGGATCTTACAGTTCACTGATATACACTAGGTTTAACAAAATTCTGAGCATGAAACTTAAATCTTTCAACGATTATCTGGATTCCTGATTTTTCCAAACAATTCAGATGCAGACCACCAAATACTTGCACTTAAAGAAAAAGGGGCTTCCCTGGGTGGGAGCGCACTACTCCTGCCTCCTAGATGAGTACTTCAGAGGGAAGAACACGGTAGATGGGAAGAACAGAAAACATGTTCGGAAAAAGGCAGCCAACCTCGTCCAGAAAATGTTCAACAAACAAAGTTACAGTAAGCCTCCCTCTCCTAATCCCTAGGATCGGAAATTGAAAAGGTGAAATCTGGATTCGGCACCAAATTTGTCAGTCTCATGGATAAGGTATCTTTTCTGAAGAAGGACAAGAGATATAATAAAAATGACCATGACTTGTCCAGCTTCAGTAATCTTGATAAAGCACATAATCACCGCCAGGATTACACCTCAATGGTGGAGTCTTCAGAGCTTAATACCAACCAAAAAGAGGAAGCCGAGGGAGACTCTGAAACTAACAAGCAAAGGAGCAGCCAAGATGAAGCCGAAGGAGAATCAGAATCTGGCGACCAATACGATAATTCTGAGGAAGATGATGAAGCTAGTAATGACGACCTCCAATCTTCTCTCTTCGCTGATCAATCCCTCAATGAAGAGAATATTGATAACTCATATGACAGAAAGAAAAACCAAAGAAATAGTAGGTAGAATTTGGTTAAAACATATAGATGCGAGCCATCCAAAGCTGCTTTCTCTGGTCAAGAACTACACTGAAAAGACAAAGGGTCCCCAAGGTGAACTCAACGAACACCATGAACACATTGAAGGAGTCAAGAAGAAGGAGAGGGAAGAGCATCAGATAGAAACCCTGAAGCAAGAAAGAAGAGTCCTTGACCAAAAAGAAGCCAAAGAATACAGGCTCCCCAGAGTCAATATCGAAGCCATCGAGTTTGGCTGGATCCTTAATGATAACGAAGGCACACAGTTCCTGAAAGAGCTTTGTAAGAGTGAAGGAACGGACCTTTTTGATCTTAGAATTATTCGTCTGATCTTATTGTTCCTCTGGGAACATTATTCCAAAAGACTGAACTTATTGTTACTTTTGCCCTCATTTATCTATTTAGTCCTCTTCGTGCTATATTCAACATGGATCCACAACAACAAGATTGAGGAAGAGAGAAAAGGTGGGGCCTATCATGTCACAAATTTGTGAATGGTTATTTTCCTCCTTATACTTACAGTCTACTTCATCATAATAGAATGTTTTCATTTCTGATACCACAGACTAGATTATTTCCTACTATCATGGAAGCTACAAGCTTGGATGACCTACAATTTAACCATAGCGAGTGTAGTATGTGATCTTTGGGAAGTTAGGGAGAGGACGTTGATCCCAATATTTGCAATTTGAATCCTGAATCATTACCTCCGCTTGTTGTACTACGTAAAATTCTCCGTCAGGAATGCATACCTATCTAAGATGATTATCCAAGTGACTACAGATAGCAGATACTTCCTGCTAGTGTTTATAATCTCTATAATGGGGTTCGCCAATGCTTTCTGGATCATCCAAGGGAATGAAGACAGGTTCACTGGTGGTACAATCCCATTGGCATTCGTGTACTCATACAGAACCGGCATCGGAGATTTTGATACTGATGGATATGATGGAGGGTATGAAGTACTTATATGGTTGATCTGGTTTGCCTCGACTTTCTTCAACCTCATAATTCTCCTCAATATGTTGATCGCCATCATGGGTGACACATTCGGAAAGATCCAAGAAACTGCTGAAAGCAATACTTACAGAAGTCTCTGTGAAATCATGGTCGAAAATGAGATTTTAGTCAGCAGACAAGCAATCTTTGGCAAGAAGAAATACATTATCATTGTGACAGAAGAGAAAGCTGAAGACGACCAGAAAGCATGGGAGGGTAACTTTGGCCAAGTCAAGAACCATGTAGCTGAAATGATTAAAAGAGATAACAGCTCACTCAATAATATCTGTAAGATTAGAATAACTCTTTAGTCTCAAGGATTAAGCTCAAGCTTGATTTCCTGATCAACAAAACTTCTGAAAAGCTCACTGGGAAGGTAATAATCTCTACTAATTCATAGTTCGAGAGGAGGATAGACAGGTGAAATCATGAGTTGACTCTTCTTGAGTCACACATCAAAGATCATCAAGACTTGTATAACCACATTCAGAGATTAGCTGCATCAAGATAAAAAAATTAATTTTGACACTAAAGGGGTTTTGGGGTTTTGGGGTTTTGGGGTTTTGGGGTTTTGGGG